AAAGCAAACACCCTGCCTCCACTGATGTCGCTTAAGAATCCAGAGACACGGGTTTATTTATAACAAAGTGTGTGCTCTTCTCAATGCAGAAGTGCCTCACTATTGTTTTATTACACTCGAATATCACAGAGATGCAAAAAATAGAAGAGGCGAAGGAGAAGGCGGATAGGAGGTAGAGGACACACTATAAAGCCAACCCATCAACGTTTACTTTAGAGTGTGTGAGGAAGTGCCCATTTGAACAAACGTTAGCCTAGAAGGAAGGAGAGAGAGTCAGCTCAGAAAGTCGGTGGCTGTGTGTGAGAAGCTGTTGATTGTTTTCTGGTTGAGAGAAGAGGTGATGATAAGGCCGGGATAAAGTGAGCGCCGGCCTGGGGCACAGAACCCGGCAGCTGTATGCTAATGTCCACAGAAACCAAGCCTTCACACCCCCTATTAGAGCAGGAGGCCACACATCACTGAACAAATAGCCGCTCTCTAGACAAATAAAATAACACACTTGGCCGGCAAGGGGGGGGGGGGCGAGAGGAGGGAGCGGGAAGGAGAGGGGAAAGTGAGAGGAGGGAGGAAAAGAGGCAGGGGGGCCAGAAGAGAGAGAGATGGGGCCGCAGAGATGGAGAGTGAAGGGAGTGGAGAAAAGGTGATGGGCAGGAGTAGAGAGGAGGGAAAAGGCGGAATAGAGTGCATCCCCAGTAGACAAGGTCTGAGAGAGAAAGGAGAGAGAAAATCAAAGAGGAACCAGCAAGCTAAGGGCCAGGAAAATGGTGGGGCTGGGAAAGAGAGAGGGAAAGGGCAGGAGAGAAGAGGAGCGGTGAGAGGCGCGAGTGCGATAGGGAAGGGCGCAGACACCTAAACTCTGACCCCAACCCTGCGCCCCAGGAGAGGGTGACGACTCAGGCTTGGGGATCCTTTCTTCTGCCGAGATGGGGGTTGCGGGGCGCTCCCCCTTCACTCGGAAAGGTGGCCCTTCGGAAGCCCCACATCCACTGTCACTCGCCCATCCAGTGCCACCTCAGTCTTCCTGGCACCTTTTTGGGCCTTCTCTCATTCCCTGGATGATCCTTCGCCATCTCTTGCCAACATCACCCTCCGACTGTCGGGCGAAGCCCTCCCTCGGGTCCCAGGCCGGGCCTGCTGTCCCCCTGGAGCAAACCCAGCCCCTCCCGGACTCGCTCGGGGGCGCGGGCGGCGGCCACCCCGCAGGTCGCCGGATAAAGGGCGCCGCCAGCTTGCGGGCACTCGAGCCTCGAGGGGGAACTCGGGGGCCGCAGGCTCCGCGCCGGCGCGGCCTCGCCTTGTTCGCTTTCATGCGCTCTCCTTTTGTGCGGAATCATTTCATCGCAGATCCCTGGCAGCTTTATGCTAATGTGCCGGACAAAGGCGGCGACCGCTGTGGGGGCTCCGGAGGTGGCAGGCCGGCCGGGTGGCGGGCGGGCCGCGCGTGTCCCTCGCGTGCCTCTCGGACTGGACACAACTTCTCATTCCCGCGAACACAAAGCCTCACCGGGCGCGCACTACGCCTCAGGGCATCGGACCTCGGGGACCTCACTGATCTGTGGGCACTCGAGGGGGCTTGACTTGGCCTCTGCTCCTGGGGATGCAAAGTGGAGGATGAGGACTTCTGCGAATCCGGGGAGAGGGGTCCATAGCAGGAAGGGTACGGGGGTGGAAGCCGCGGACTCCCGCCAGGCGAGTGCAAACGCGCCACCTGCCCTGGGCAGGGATTCCAGACACGCCCATCTCCGCCTCGGGTGTGCGTTGGGCCTGGATTCCCCGACACCCCTCCGGCCAACTCCTGAGCCCACATTCCCGCGTTGGCTCGCATTGCCAGCTTTGGGCTTTCCAGAAACTTCCTGGAGCCTTGCTGTTTTGAGTTGCAGCCAAGCTAAGGGTCACAGGGGACCTCGGCCGGAGACACCAGCCCAGATCTCAGAAGGTAGAAAGCTCAAAGCAAGGTCTACAAGGACAAGGAACGAAGGAATCCTCCGATTTTTCCAAAACACTAGCCGACAAGAAGATAAAGTGTCAGACCAGGCCAGTGAGGAGCCGGCCAGGGACAGTCAGCGCTCAAGGGTCTCACATCTCAGCTCAGCGCGACCACGTCCGAAAACCCCAGGGCGCTCAGGCTGACCAGAGGCAATCGTGCTGGTGCTCTGCCCTTCCTAGAAGACAACAAATATTCAAGTGGTTCGAAGATTTTGTGAAAGAAAACCACCCAGAAGCCCGCAGCGCCCCACGCCACGCACTCCTGTCTGGAACTGCTGTGCGTGCGCGGCCTCATTTCCTTTCAGTCGGGGTTAGGGAAGTAGTTCAGAATACTTGTACCTTCCAAGTTTTTCCTCTCTTTTAGCGTATCCACCTGAAAGCAGATTTCATTTCATCCCTAAAGATAATGAAGTGGAACCCTCTGGATCTCAGCATCACAATGGGTTCCACAGAGTCCCTTGGTTAAACTCTGGCTGGGGCGAGTTGGCCGCCTCCAGAAAGAGGCTTGGCTTGGTCTTGTTCGTTTGTCTTCCCTTTCCTTAGAATGTAGGTGCTTGTATTCTTTGAGAGATTGCTAGGTAAGCTAACTCTTGGTTATCCTGTGAAGCAGGAGTCTCACATAGGCGAGCCCTGGACACCGCGGTCAGCTGCGAAGGAGGGGTCGACCCCCCACCACCACCACCCCAACCCATTATCCTACAATTCAGATGGAATTTGTGATTGGGAAAGAAAATAGCCAGAGCTGTCCCGGAATCTTTTTTCCACCTCTAATTTCATCACCAAAATTAATCAGCGTTTAAAAGAGCAAGAAAATAGCATCAGTTACTTTTACGTGGAGCCGTGAGTAAGCATTTTATATAAATTCATCATATAGTGCCTAAGTGTTCAAAAATAATATTAAAGCCTTTTAAAATACCAGGGTAGAACTTTTAAAATGTATTCCATTATATATTTTTTCCAATCTGTAAGGTTTTAAAAATCACAAATATTTTTTTAAAAAATCACAAATACCCGGAAACAACTCCCTACCAATTGTCTCTATGTAGCAAGTTATTCAAGTGAACTCTGTGGGGGAAAAAAAAAAATCACAACAAAACCAAACAATTCATTTCCACGCCAGGGTATTTTCAGAGGGAAAATCCAAAACAATTAAATACCTTCAGTGGAATTAGTGCAAGCAAAACTCTCTTAGCAAAAGACATTAGCATTCAGAGAGTAACTCAAAGCAAAGTTCCCCCTCCCGTTCCCATTACGGCGGCACCTTCCTACACCAAGTGACCCTGGACTTGGCTGCACTATTTGTTCCCGGTGGCGTGCGATCAAGGCGATTTTGCGCGCGGTTTTCTGCTCGGTCTCCGGAGATTCTGCCCGGTGTTTCCTAGCGCTGAGTTGCAAAGCGAGCGGAAGCAGAGGGCCGCTCTGAATCTCGACGCGGCACCGAGTGGGGGGGTAGGGCCCGCAGGTAGATCTTCACAGTTGTCTTTTCTTCGTGGTACGGGGGAGGAGGCCTGTACTCGGGAGGCCGCAGCTTGCCTGGGAGGACAGATTGCCGCCCTCCCCCCGTCAGTAGCACGCGCTTCTTTTGCGTCCAGATTGGCCGCGGCCTGCGCTCAATAGCTAGAGGTTAATTTCCTTCACAAAGGTGAAGGGGCACGGTTCCGGGAGGGGGTGCGGTACCCAGACAGGCGGCCCCTTTATTCCGCCGCGCCTTGATTGGAGCCCTTGATTTAGCATCTGATGTCAACCGCAGACAAAACGCCTTTTCCAAATGAAAATGTATGAGGCCGCACGGGGAGGGCGCAAAACAACTTCACTGGGCGCACGAGGCTACTCGCGCGTTTCTAGATTCGGCCAAATTCGCGGATCGCTCACAGCTGGGCAGCCGAAGGCCCTGAGCACCTTGGATAGGGGTTCTCCAAGACTGTCAGTCTCTAAGCCCCGGGGAACTTAAAGTTTAGGAATCCAGGTCCTTTTGGAATCAAACCGCCCTGCTCCTGCCCCCACTCGCATGTCACTGGGCAACTGAGTAACTGTGTGCAAACTGTTTCCAAACTCGAGCGAAGCCTTGTGGGTTCTGCGGACACGCTGTGGTTGCATCAGCATCACTCTTAGGCCAAATCCTCCAACCGAACTTGTAACCTTGTCCTTTCTTTTCGCTTCAACCTGGGCCATGCGGCCCACCCGTCCAGGATGCAAGTACGGCCTCTCCTCTGGCTTGGCTTTGCAGCTATTTTTTATTCTAAATTATTCCGGAAAGACCTCACTAAGCTCCAGAGTAGCGCCAGCCCGAGAAGCCAGGCAGCCGCATTCCCAGACCCTGCGCTACAGCCGTGCCCGCCCCTCCCCATCAGCGCGCACCAGGGCCCCTCCGCTCAGCTCGCGCACTGCGCCCTCCTGACATATTTGGGGCCTTTCTTGTCCTTTGTTGCTATTTTGCTTGCAACCCGCGGGTAATCCCTGCGCGGGCGAGGGGGGCGCATTGTCGTGCTGATGGACGGGCCCATTTGGCGGCCCCAAGCCCCCGGGAGGAGAGACACAAAAGCCCAGGCACGTGCGACTCCCTTAGAGGAGCAGCCGAGCGTGAAAGGAGGCGGGGCCAGGCGTGTGCCGGGCTCGGCGGGGCGCGGCGACGAGCGGAGTGGCAAGGGGCGCTCCCGGGGGTCCTGTGCCCTCAGGTACATCTGCCGCACCTACCGGGCGACCCCCTAGTCTCGGCTTCTTTTCGCAGTCCCTAGGCTCTCCTACTCTACCAGGCGGAGGAGCTGCGGACGCGCTGATTGGCTCTGGGGAAAGCGGGAGGCAAGAACAATGGCCCCCTCCCCTCGTTAAAAGGAAGCAGCCCAGAGACCTGGACACAGGCACGCGCGTGCAGGGCGCAGAGTAGGGCCGAGCCGTTGCCGGCGCCACGCGTCTCTTCCAACGTTGGGCCAGGCCATGGGCTGGGGGCACTGAGGGCAGCAGGCCGAGCGTGGAGGTGAGAGAAAGCCATCGCCTTGGCTGTGCCCCGCGCCAAGATGCCCCGTGGCTTCCTGGTGAAACGCAGCAAGAAGTCCACGCCCGTGTCCTACCGGGTCCGCGGGGGCGACGAAGGCGACCGCGCACTGCTGCTCTCGCCAGGCTGCGGGGGCGCCCACGCCGAGCCGCCCGCGCCGAACCCCGGACCCGGGCCGCTGCCGCCGCCAGCGCCGCAAACCGAGCACGCCCATGTGGTGCTCGCCGCCGCGCTCTCCTGTCCGCCCGGGCCGCCGCCGCTGCCACCGCCGCCGCCGCCGCCTCGAGCCACGCATTTCGGCAACCCTGAGGCCGCGCACCCGGCGCCGCTCTATAGCCCCACGAGGCCCGTAAGTCGCGAGCACGAGAAGCACAAGTACTTCGAGCGCAGCTTCAACCTGGGCTCGCCCATCTCGGCTGAATCCTTCCCCACGCCCGCCGTGCTGCTGGGGAGCGGGGGCGGGCGCGGCGCGGGTGGCGGAGGCGGTGGGGGCGGCACCTGCGGTGGCGACGCGCTGCTCTTCGCGCCTGCGGAGCTCAAGATCGGTGCGGTGTTCTCGGGGGGCGCCGAGGCCGCCCACGGGCCCGCTCCCCGACCGCCGGCCCCCGCTGCTGCCCTGCGGCCACCCGGCAAGCGACCCGCGCCTCTTGCCGCTGCTGCCGCGGAGCCGCCCGCCAAAGCACCCAAGGCCACGGGCGTCAAGAAACCCAAGGCCATCCGTAAGCTGCATTTCGAGGACGAAGTGACCACGTCGCCCGTGCTGGGACTCAAGATTAAAGAGGGCCCGGTGGAGGCGCCGCGGGGTCGCGCAGGCGGTTCGGCGCGCCCACTGGGCGAGTTCATCTGCCAGCTGTGCAAGGAAGAGTACGCGGATCCGTTCTCGTTGGCGCAGCATAAGTGCTCACGCATCGTGCGCGTGGAGTACCGCTGCCCCGAGTGCGCCAAGGTCTTCAGCTGCCCAGCCAACCTGGCCTCGCACCGCCGCTGGCACAAGCCGCGGCCCGCGACCGCCACCGTCCGTGCACCCGAGCCAGAAGCCGTCGTTGCCAAGGCCGAGACACGGGAGGCGGCAGGCGGCGGCAGCGACCGCGACACCCCGAGTCCTGGCGATGTGTCCGAGTCCGGCTCGGAGGACGGGCTCTATGAGTGTCACCACTGCGCCAAGAAGTTCCGCCGCCAGGCCTATCTGCGCAAGCACTTGCTGGCGCACCACCAGGCGCTGCAGGCCAAGGCCTCGCTGCCCGCGCCCCCAGCCCCGGACCTGCTGGCCTTGTACCCTGGACCCGACGATAAGGTGCCCCAGGAAACGGCTGGCGACGGCAACGCGGCCAGCACGCTGGGCTTGAGTGCGCCCGCCGAGTGCCACCTGTGCCCAGTGTGTGGGGAGACGTTCCCCAGCAAGGGCGCCCAGGAGCGCCACCTGCGCCTGCTGCACGCCGCCCAGATGTTCCCCTGCAAGTACTGCCCTGCTGCCTTCTACAGCTCGCCGGGTCTCACACGACACATCAACAAGTGCCACCCGTCCGAAAACAGACAAGTGATTCTCCTGCAGGTGCCTGTGCGCCCAGCCTGCTGAAGCGTGCCCCGCCGGCCCAGAGCTGTGCCTTCGCTCGGAGACCCCAGAGCGTGCCCTCCACGCCCAGAGCCCGCTGGGTACGGAGGGCGCGCACCACTCCAGGTGTCTCCTTTGCTTCTGTCGGTGTGGCGTGCCGGTAACCCCGACCCTCTGTCTTGGCACCTTCCGGAATCCCACCCCCTCATTTGGCGTAATCCCTCAACCTATCCTGGATGGTGCAACAGGAAAGTCTCTGTACAGGGGGAAGCTGTACGCCTTCGTTCTGTGGTTGGAAGCCTCCCTTCCCCTTCGGAGGGAGAAGCTGTTGTTCTTGTTAGTCTCTGTGTGTTCATGGTCTAGAAATACGGTTTGCTCTTGCCTACCATTCCGCTCTCCATGTATGTAGCGTACGGGTTCTTTTGGGTGAATCTTGAGGAATAAATGCCTTTATATTTCACAGGCTGTAAATTGAACTTCCCACACGATTAGCTTTATTATGGCTTGTGACCTGCTGGAGTCTGGCTTTACCTTTTTGTATGTGAGCAAATCAAATTGCTTAAAAAGAGAGTTTTCTTTAGTATAGCCACAAATGCCTTCAACTGGTGTCTGTTTGGGATTGTTTGGGGGAGGGAAGGGAATGTCCGAAGATGCTGTAGAAACTGCCTCAATATTTCAAGAAATGTTTTTTTTGTTTATTGGATCATTTCTGTTGAGGTAGACCTATGAGTTTCCTATACATGTATATGTTGATTTATGAGCAATTGTTATTTATTCATTATTTATTTATAATAATTATGAAGATATTATTTGATTGCAGATTTTTTTTGTGTGAGCTTTTTTTCCTCCCTCCAGCCACTCTTGACATTTCACTGTGTATTTTTAAAAAGAGCCTTTTTCTATCTAAAGGGATCTGCTACAGGATTTAACTTTTATATCTATCTGAGCAAATTAAAGACAACCTACCATTTTATTCTGCTTGGAGGCCCCCCAGGCCCTTCTACACCGGACAGCTCTTACTTTTAAATGCAATCTCTTTTTTACATACATTATTTTCTTAATTGTTAGCTATTTATAGAAAGCTTCAATAGAACTGTTTTGACTGTATAACTATTTACTATTGAAATAAAATATTTTCAAAGTCAAAGACGGGTGGAATTATTTCTGTATCTTCTGGTTTCAGGTTTGGTTTTTTCTTTTTTTTTCTTTAAGAGCTATCTTTTTAAAGGAAAAAAACAAACCAACCAACCTCTCCTCACCATAACTAGAATTGTGAATTTTTAGAGCTGAGCCTGCACTTCTGGGATCTGCCCTTGGGCAGTTTAAAAGTACGGTCTCCAGAATGGTTAATGAGAATGAAAGTGTTGTTGAGGTTCCATGAACACACTGGACGGTAAGGTTAAAATACAGGTTGTATACATTTCCCCCACCCTTGAAAAATTTAGGTAAGCACCTACAAAAATCACTTTAACCAAGGAGCTGTGGAAACTTCAGTTTCATTTAGCAAATCATTTCTCAACAATTTAGCGCTCAGTATAATTTCAATTCTTCAAATACAGAAATTTAATACCTCTTATTCCCTAAGTACCAACTAAAATAATTTTACAATTAGATTCCCGGTTGGATTTCCAAAATAAGAGAAACAAACCAATTGACATTTGGATTCAACAGAAGTTGAGCAACTGGATTTGGGGAAGGACTCAAAAGAATTTTCCAACCAAGGAAGTAGCCCATTTTATGGAGGGGGGAACCATTTAGGGCATTACATTTGCTAACAGGTAATCATAATGTTTTTGGCTACATGTCACTCAGCTCTCTGAGGAACAATTCTGACATTATGAGCTAATATTTTGAGAAGGGTTGTGGGGTTTTTTTACCATCAAAAATTCAGTGAATGAATTGAGCTCAGCAGCATAATTCTGTTTTCTTACCTATGGTGGTTTTGCTCCTTTTTGCTGCATCTTCACACCAGGAGATTTTCAAAGCCTGCACAGCAAAGGTGCCAGACCTCAGCGTGAGGGTTGGGAGGGCAGTTCACCACCCAGGTGGGGAAAGTGACTTGAAAGCTGCTTTCCTAGTTCTAAGCCCAGTGTGGGAGCCAGTTTAGAAGGCCAGCGGTTCGGAAAAGGGAATATCCCTCCTCCTCAGCCCAAATATAACACCTTTACCATCATCTTGAAACAACTCTGAATAATGGTTTAAGAAAAGCCACAACAGATACAGTGCTTCCAGGACAGATGGTCCGTCATCATCTCCATATTTCACTGCTCTAGAAAATACAGGAAGAAAAAAACCCAGTGCTCGCACAATTTGAACGCACAGGGACAAAGCAGAACTTAAAACGTCCTGAAAATTCTTTTCCTTGTTCCTAAAGACAAAGCAAGAATTCATTTAAAATCTACAGTTAGGAGGTAAATCTACTTGGATGGTCATAGACGAGCTCCTTCTTTAGCCCCTGTGGAAATTTATTTTTAAAACCTTGCTAAAACAGAATCTTAAATCCCATTTGTGTGATGCAATACATTAAATTACTTAAATAGAAAATATAAAAGATGAACAGTTTAAAAGAAATAGAAAAGATGTTCCATTTATGTCAACATAATGCATATGAGCAGAATGCTCCACTGCAGGGAACAGATAAATTATTCTCAACTGGGTTATTTTGCTCCTTCTTCCTTTATCCTGTGCAAACAGCCAGCCACAGGCTCTAGTGCCATCAAGGCAGTCTCACATCCAAGAGAATTTCTGAAAATGAAAGAACCCTTCTCCTTTGGAAGCATTTCTGATGATGAATTGCCGAGGGACATCACGACCAGCCAGATTGTGTCTCCAAAGGGACAAGACATGATGAAAACTGTCACCTGTGAGAAACCTGTGATGGACCTTTGGGGTAAAAAGAATTGATTTCTCTCTCATTGCCTAGGCAGAGAAACAACCCAGCTCACAAATGTACCATTTACAGCTAATTTTTTAGTTGTTAAGGCTTGATATGCTACTCAGAACCAGAGAGCATATTTGAGATTATGTCTGACGTTAGCATATTTTTACTAACCTAAAGACACAATCCTTCATTTCTTAAAACCCAAATGTCATTTTCTTATCTACCACACACTCTTGTTGTGGGTTTCCTCTGTTGCGTCTGGCAAGTCGAGAGTGCAGGATGAGAGTCCTGGATGTCTGTATGGTAAGCAAATGGGTGGAGGAGTGAATACATTCATACTTGTCATACCTGATGATCTCTTGCTATGTGGTCTTCCACACAAAGCATCAATGTCTTTTTTTCTTTTTCTTATTGTGTAAGTCCACAATAATGTTACATACTGTTCTTGGACTTGTTATCATACTGAAACCAAGCCTATGAGATGTCTACAAGCATCCAGAATACGTTAAAATAAGTGTCTAGGTACACCATAGTCACACTTTTCAGCAGTGCTCACTTCTGTAAGAAGCTTGTCAATGCTATATCCACTCATGTCACCAGCGCTGCTTCTTTCTCATTAGAACCTGGGCATTCACTGCTCTTCCATGTGGTTTGAATCAGCAAAGTGAGCCTCACACAAGAACAAAATGATAATGTGACAACATCAACCTGAATCTGTTATTCTCTTCTTTTACTCTTTTTAGTTGAATGCAACATCTGCTTCCTCTCGTTTGTTCTGATGCAATTCTCCCTTCTCAAATGTCATGGATAGGTGACAGTCATTCCTATCGGTGGCAGGACTGGCAGACTCAAATCTGAAGCAGAGTTGGTATTGGTCCAAGGAAGGGCAGGAGGCTAAGAAGAGGAGGAGGAAGAAATATTAAATGAAAATTTCCATCTAGCACAAAGGTTTGTGACCTGTGCTGAAATACTCATGTACAGTATTGACATTTAAGAAGCTTGTAGTACAATTTGTTGCAGCTTTTGTCCACTGTTATTTATTCAATTGTATGATGTAAAGTGAAACTTTGACCATTCTATCTCATAATAACCAAGAAGTTAATTCCATCTCCCAGTAATAACCAAGAAGTTATTATTGGGCAATAGAAGCTTGTAGGAATGGTGTACAGGAGAATAATTGTATTGAGTATTATCAAGCACAATGGGATATGAGTACATACCTTCTGTGGACAGAATCCTACCATTAATGTTACTTGCTATCCAGTTACTTCTAGTTTATGAAAACTCCACATACAACAAAATAAAATGTTGCCTGATCCTCACCATGGTCATGATTACTGGTATTCTTGAGTACACTGTTGCAATCACTACCAGCAGCCAGGAAATCAAGACACAAATTGCACTGGGAAAGTCAGCTGTCAGGGACCTCTCCAGAGTACTGAAGAGCAATGATGTCAGGCTAGAGACTAAGGGGTGCCTGATCCGGGCCATAGTCTTCACAATTGTGGGCTATACATCAAAGAGTGGGACAGTGACTAAGGATGATAGACAGAGAATTGATGTCTTTAAGCTGTGGTGCTGGAGAAGAGTGTTGAATATACTATGAACTGCTAGGCAAACAATAAACAGGTTTATCCTGGAGAGGGTGAAACCATGTTGCTCCTTGGAAGCAAGCATTCTGAAGTTTCATCTGACATATTTTGGGCATGTTGCAAGGAGGGACCAGTGTTTGGAGAGGGACATCATCCCTGGGAGAGTGGAGGGACATCGCAAGAGAGGAAGACCCTCGATGAAGTGGATTGAGTCAATGATTGGAGTAATGAGAGTAGGTGTGTCAGAAACAGTGAGGCTGGCACAGGATAGAGTAGGGTTTATGGCTCTTGTACATAAGGTTGTATGAGTCACAAACGACTTGATGGCACATAACAATAACAAACATCAACCAAAAATGGGCTCATCCCCCATGACTACATTTGACAACGTTATATTGTGACCTGTAAAGGTTTCATCAGCAACCCCTAACTCCCTTGAAACCAGCAGTCAGAAATAAGGAGACATGTTGTACTGGGAAAATCTGCAGTTAGGTACCTCTCCAAATTATTGAGGAGTGATGAAGTCAGTTTGAGGACTAAAATGTGTCTGA